GGACAAGGACAGACAAGCTCACCCCAATAAAATTACATTGCTGATGTAATACACCCATCCATGTTCAAATTTTGACAGCCTGCTCTAAAATGAACCCTGCTATTCAGTAGCTCTTCCAATAACCTTAGACAATGTGCGCTGACTAACAAATTATCGTTTATTCTGATATAGTGTATCCATCAACGAGCAAAACTCCCCATCCTTCCACTTACAGTCCTCTTTGAGATGCCAGGATCCATTAAAAGCTGTGAAATATTATGGCGTGGTAGTCGAGGCATTAGAACTGAAAATGTGTGCTGACGAAGGACCTCTTCACACGCCTTTATCTTTAAAGCTGAGTCCTGGGCCTTTTTCTTCGCTGAGCCGTTTGCGAATCAATCATCAATTATTTTCTGAAAGGCTGTCGGAAATACCAAATGCCAAACGTGGCGGACAGCAGCGCACTTTGATCAAGGGAAGGTTTGCTTGCACGAAGTTTGCTGCTGCAACATAAGACCAGAGATCACAATATCTACTGACAACCTTTAAACAATAGCTTGAAGATGTCCTCTCATTCAGCCAGAAGAGCACCAGTGAGGTATTGTATGGGGTTGAGGTCAGGACCTGCCTTCCCTAGATTGTTGATGAAACACAATGCTACGTAAAATATCATTGGGTCTTTCAGTATGTTGCATTCCCAATTTTGTGCCACCTCGATTCCTCGCTCCTCCGGCTGGTAACTTGGGAATCGATCTCAGCGCTCCATCTTGAAAGACATCCCAATTCCTAAAATGTATCTCGAGGATCGAGAAGACTTGCGTGTAGCTGGCGAGGAGCTATGAGCGAGGAAACTATTTTTAACATTTGTAAACAAATAAGAGGCGTGACTTGGGAAATACATTTATTCACTTTCTTGCAGAGAGTTAGATGAGAAGATTGATACGGACCTCATGTTTGCACGGTAAATACAAATCTACAGCTAACAGCTGGTTAGCTTAGTTTAGCCTGGCTCTATCGGCGCCTCCATAGCTTACCAATCAATAGATCCATACAAAAACCAAAGCTATGCTAACATCCTGTCTGTGGCTTCGTATTTACTGTACATCCAGACTAAGACCAAGCTGCTGGTCCATCAAGCAGTAGTTCTGTCCTCACTCCTCTTTGGTGCTGAATGCTGGACTACCTACAGCAGACACATCAAAGCCCTGGAACAATATCACCAACGATGCCTGCATAAGATCCTAATGACCAACTGGGAAGAGAGGTGAACAAATATCAGCATCCTGGAAGAAGTCAAACTACCAAATATCTCCACAACTATCACTCGTCACCAGCTGCGATGGACTGGTCATATAATCCGTATTCCAAACTCCTGCCTCCCGAAACAGGCCCTTTATGGTGAACTTAGGGAGGGGGAAGTGCACCTAAGGGGGACAAAAAAAGCGGTACATAGATAACTTCATATTCCACCTGAGGAAATGCCACGTTCACCTCAACAAGATGGCCTGTGACAGAAACCTTTGGAGAAGGATGATGTTTGAAGGGGAAAAGGACCTCCGCCTTGCCATGAAAGCAAAAGGGCAACGCAGAAAGGAGAGACCCACCAGCAAACTGCTCCTCCACCTACGAATACTACAACTGCCCACACTGCAACAGACCAGGATTGGATCCAGGATTGACCTTTACAGCCACCTGAAGACCCATAAATAATCCATTTCAGTGATGGTGACGGAGGCGGCCATCATGCAAGTTGTCTCAAAGTGCTTATAGCATGGATGATGGTGATGAAGATGACTGGAGGAGGGGGACGGAGTGGAAGACGATTAAAAGGAAGAAATAATGATGACGAAGATAATGATGATGATACTGCAGAGTTTGCAGAAGATTATAGAGAGCCGAAGTCCTCACGTCAGTCTAATGCATTTCTTTCATCGTTCTTTTCAGTTCATTAAGCACATTGCTGAGGTTTACTTTCCATATTCTAAAAGAAATTGGCATCCTCCACAGGTGCTATAAGAAATTGAAACCTTTTAATGTATGCCGCTTTAAAATTTTAAACTGGAGCTCCCATGAAAAACCTACAAGCACAGCAGCGTGGGTCATTTTTATAATGTGTTTTTAGCTGTAATCTCTGCTGTTTAAAGACATTTACAGCATCTGTACTTTCTGTCCTGCTGTTTTTACAGACATGTCTGAACTAACCCCTCAACCCGTGAAGGTCTGGGGCCTATGGGAAATGGTGTTTTAATTAAGGCTGCTAAAACCCAGAGATATTAAATAAACAACAATATTGGAGTGTTTTTGAAAAATAAAACACCATCCTTATCTAAACATTTGAAGCGAGCCATTCATTTCAAATGATTTATTCAGTAGTCCAGAAATGTCATGGGAACAAGTCTATAGGAAATTTGTGCTGCATTCATGTGCTGTCAGAATAATCAGAAGAATAGCAAATACTGGAAACCGCTATCGTGTTGTTTAAACACTTTGAGCAATAAAATAAACAAATCTTCTATATAGCATCTCTGTTGTCTCCACACTATGACTTAGAGCTCATGAACACACCGAAGTTGGACTAACAACCATCTGAGGAGCATATGAATGCACCATTAACCTGCCGTGCTGTCCGTCTTGGTTTGAGTCTTATTCCACTGGTCTTAGCTTGTTCATTGAGTGTCATTGCTGCAGTGCGTAACGTTGTATGTAAGTGTTGGGTAATCCCAATACAACGTTACAAAAGATGTGATTTGACTGCATCATTTTTGTTGTTGTTCCTGAGCAAGTAGCAGATGTCTCAGTCCAAGAGAACTGTTCATTCAGACGTAACCCTGAGAAGTAACACAGTGGCCTTATAGTTTTCTTATGTTCACACTGGAAGCTTCACTTTTTCAAGAGAAAGAGGGTTTGAGGATGAGAAAAACGAGCATCTTGTCACCCACGTTGACTAAGGTAACCTGTAACCCCACAAAGTAATATAATGAAGTTAGCCGATAACATGCCCCTTTGCCTTTGGGATGAAATAATATTAGGTTACTAATGCAGATAGTAAAGCAGTCAGCTGGACACGTTCGGCCTATATTAGAGCAGATGAAAACACAGTTGAATCCATTTTATACACTTTTTCTCTTGTGTTAGTTTTGGAAACGTAATTCAAAACAAAAAAGCTACCACCCTCCAAAGTATATCTCTCTTTCTACAGACCCGTGCACATGTCAACATGTGGACAAATCAAAAGCTTGACAGAGGTGGCATGCCTAGTTACGGCTGCTAAGGTGTGATTGGACAATCACTGTCCTGGGGCGGGGTTCAGCCAACAGCCTATCTCTTTATACTGAATAATGTCCATGATAAATACTTTGTCTCTGTGATTAATATGCCCTCTAAATTGATGGTTGATAATAAAAGCCTCAGAGTTAACCTGGCTCATAATGGAATGCGGCTGACCCGAGCTTGACTCTCAACGCAGGCTTTTAACAAACCTCTCTGTCTCTCTGTAGCCCAGGGATCTTTTTTTACTCCCTCGTATTGATCTTGGCTTTGTGGCTGCGTCAGCTGATGAGCAGCAGGAATCTATCCGTGCTGTGTTAAGTGTCCTGTGGAGATTCATCGAGGCGTGCCTTCTATTGCTCGGTGCAATCTCTGCCTTTTCTTAATGACCTGCAGAGCTCCTCAGCCAGGTCTTCATTAACGTGTCCTTTTTCATTCCGGATGTCGTGGTCATGTGTGCGTGAGTGTCTGTGTGACAGGTTGGATAATACTTTGATGAACAAAAATATAACCCCTCATATAACCCTCTGATAATTGCTAAAATTACTAGAGCAAGAAAAGATATGAAAATGAGTTTTGATATCCACTCCGGAATTTATTAGATGGTTTTCTAACCTTCTCACCTCCTTAGTTGGTCGAATTAAGATGAATGTAAATGTATCACAATATTTATAGTATAATATATATACATTTGTGTTGTGCCATTGTTTATTAAAGTTAACTCCACCTTAAAACAGAATTGTTACTTACTCATAATCTGAGCCACTCCGCTGCAGACAGATGTCATCTAAACTGGAGGTTCAAAATGTGAGCAGGTAGAAAAGCCTTTACACCTGAATTAGTTTCATATCTTAGATCTAGAGCAGAATACCGATTGACCTTGGACTGTGCTTCACGATTCAGAAAGCTGTTAAAATATATCCTAAAACACATTTGGGCTTCCTCAAAGAGGTCGTAGACAGAACTTGCTATTTGTCGGACTCTCTGAGGGACTTTCCAAAGATAAAACGAGGACAAAATAAAACCTTCATGTGCATCCACAGTAGATGTTTATGGAGTTAAGCCAATTGGCACAGTGCTATTACTTCCAACTACCAATTGGGGCAGTGTTGAAGCTTGGAGTGATATTAGGTTTTATTTTATTTGTTGTATTTTTAAAATGCTTCTGGTACACAAACATCCAACATACATTTCTTCAGTAATTTGAGGACTTTGTTTGCCCTGTGTTTCGCCTCTCAGGCTACAAAGAGGTTACTGCCCGACCCTCTGATTGGTCGATTGCTGTGCTTGCAGCCTGACAGGAAGACTGCAGGCGGGACTTATGTACTTTTTTTGTTAAAGAAAAAACATATTTTATCATCAGGCCTCTTCAGAGAGAAGGTGATAAAAGTATCTCCAGGAAAGATGTTTAGATAGCATTTCTAAACTTTAAGCTGTTTAATATGTATTTGCTATATAAATATAAATGCAGGATACATAAATCAGATATTATAAGCTTTTTTTTAAAACCCAATCTACGCCTTAGAAAATATCATAAAGAAAGTGATGCGTATCAGCCTCATGCATGACTCATCTGAGGCTTTTCCTGCTGGAATTTGCAGTATTTTTGGAGGGTGGGCTACTTATTTTTTCGGTATGATAATGTGTATAATGAGATTGCATTGTAATATCCGGGGGCCGGTCCAGAGTGGAGTGGGAGTGTCTGCGCGCTGCTCTCCCTTTCTACCAGGAAAGCGCCGGAGGAGACCCACAGTGCCACACAGCCGCGCACTGCAGAGGAGACAGAGAGCGGGACACACACACACACACACCACCAGGGGAATATGTCACGCACCGAGGGACGCTTCAACCACCGGCGCAACGCGGCCCATGCTTATCCACTGCCTCTGCTTTAGTTCAGCAGACACACATCGCCCCGTTCACCACTTATGCTCTGCTGAAATCTTCCCTGCTGCTGCTGCCGCTTCTGGTCCATCTCCGTCCCCTCCTCCTCGCGCTCGTCACCGTCCCGTCGCCAGGATGGACAAGTCGCTCAGCAGTCCGCAACCCGTGGCCAACACAACCAACTCTTCCCCGTCGGACCGCGGGAGCTCGTCATCGACGAGGAAGCCCGGGAGGAGCGGGTCGCACAGCCCCGGCTCCGGCTCCCTGGGCGGCTCAGCCGGAGGAGGCAGCAGCCGGGGAGCTGTGCTGGGGAACAGCATGAATTTGCAGCAGCCGCGCAAGAGGCAGCTTGAAGGAGTGCTGAGCAAATACACCAACCTGATCCAGGGCTGGCAGAACAGGTAAGCACATGGATGGAGTTTGATGGGAAGAGGAGGAGGAGGAGGAGGAGGTGGAGGAGGGCGTCGGATACGATTCACTTTCGGTTCAGGCGTCCGATAGCTCGGTGGTGATATTTGCGCCTGTCCACGTTGCACTTTTACCAACACGTCACTGTGAGGGGGTGGGGGGAGGAGGAGGGGTCAGAGGGTTTAAAACCAAACCCTGCACACGTGTAGGCCTGCTAATGAACTACTCTACTGGTCCTTATTAGGTTAACAAACACTAATACAAATCAGATAATATCGTTAACAGAGAGACTCAACAGTCCAGTTAAATCCTGGCGTTTGCTGACATCATATAACAGGTGTGTGTTGACTAAACTCTACAGTCATTTGTTTAAGGCTAGAGTTAGAAATGGCAACTATTTTGGTTATTGGTTTGGTTATTTGGTTATCAATCATGGCAAAAGGGACAGAAATGAACTGTTTTTGACTTCTCAAATGTGAATATCTGTTTTTTTCTCAGTCTTTGGGTTTTGGCTAATGATTTTTTTTTTATTATCAATTCATCTGTTGTTTACTTCATTAATTGTTTGGTCCATTACACGTCAGCAAACAGCGACATATGCCCATCACAAGACGCGCATGACATCTTCTAATTAAATAACCTGAAGATATTTAGTTTAATCTTCACATTTGAGAAGTTGGGACCAGACAATATTTTACATTATTGCTTGAAAAATGAATTATTTTTTTGCCGATCGACTAAAAGACTATACTGACTAGAGCTTGACCGATAAATCGTCCGGGTTAATGTTTTGGTCCGATATTGGCTCACAGCAGACATGCTGGTATCGGCATATGCATCGGAAGAAACTGCTGCTAGTTTAGAAACTGTTTAGAAACTGCTAATCCCCTTTGTAGAATGTACAAATAATGTAGGCAACAAATGAAAGTTTTCATTGTTGATTCATCTGCCAATAGTCCAAAACCCAAAGATATTCATCTTACCATCACATATGACACAGAAAAGTATCAAATCTTCTGTTAAGAGAAGCTGGAAACTTTGGTCTTATATGTTTGGTCTTTTAAAAAAAAAAAAATCAGTCAATAGATTCATTTTCTACTCTACTGCACTAATCGCATAGTTAGCCCATCATTGCAGCTGTAAAAAAAAGATGCTCACAACAAGTTCAAGTATCTCGTGAGACAAAGAAAAGCAGCAGTCCTCACATATTGGACTATAAATCCAGATGAAACGTTGTCGGTGAAATTACCTCGTTACTTCATTTTAATGCTTTAAACAGTTTTTTGGTATTCTTCTGCTCGTGAAGCGCTGCAGCCTGCTCTCACAATGAAGTGCAGAATATCTCAGCAACAACTGTGGAGATCACAGCGGTGCGTTATTGGGCGAATGTTCTTCATGCAGCATTTATGGGTTCACTCCCTGCCCTGTCCGGTTCACTCAACTCGGAGCGTTTTCATGAGCAGCTATGAGCGAGCCTTTAATTTGAAACTATTACCAAAGCCTAAACCTGTTGCTGTTGTGAGCCATGTCTGAAACCTTTGGTTGTGGTTTGAGTGTTGTTGTTTGAGGCATAGAAAGACTTTTCTAGCTAATTCCCTGTAAGCTGCTGAACTAGTGTACACACAGTGGACATGAATAATGCAAGATTTCTCTTCCTCAGCTGTAGTGTGATGAAATTACTTCTTTTTTTTTTTTCACCGATGTGCACACAAAAATAACCGTCCCATTGTCGCCTTGGCGCTGCTGCAGAGAAGGAGAAGGCTGAGACTGTAGTGTGTACAATCTGGGCTGGAAGCCAGTGTGTATATGCGAGAGAGGGGTGAGGTAGGGAGGGAGGCGGAGAGAAAGAATGGCTGCTTCCAGCTCTCCCATTAAACTGACAGGCACATGATGCACTGAACTGCATCTTGATCTGCACCCACGGGAGTAATACCTGGGTATGAGATTCAGCACACGCACGTGTTCATCTCAGAGAGGTCTTATTGAGCTAAAGAAATCTCAATTGTATTTGACATTCATGTGGGATTTGCTACATGTCAAGTCTGCTGATTCAAACACCTGAACTCAGGTATGCAAACAAATGTCACAGTATACAATACGCAGGTTGTTGCGAGCAGAATGTAAGCTGGGTTTTTATGGGGAAGGGTGATGTAAAAGAATGGGGTTTGTTCTTGGCGGCGGTGGCACTTGTCCCGTTTCAATGTCAAAGTGACAGAAGGTGAAGGTCTCGCCCAAACGTGGAGACGCAGAGAGCGATCGCCGACTAAAACTTTACTGAAAATGGAGCCTTTTTAGCAGGGAGCCGAGAAGTTAACGATCATGTTTTGCTTCACGCCGGTTGTTCCAAACGTGGAAGGGTGTGAGCAATCAAAGTGTAATGAATAGTCTGTACCTGAAATCTACCCTATATACGTGGACTAAGATGGTGCCTGGAGTTGTTTTGTAATTATGTTTGTACATATTGTGTTGTATGAGGCCATTATGCTACTTACACATCCAGAAAAGCATCGAAAAACACTTATGTTTAAAAAAAATATGTCCATTTGGAGTGAAAATGTACATGACAGTCATGAGTGAATATTCAAAAAAATTGGGTCTTGTTGCCAGTAAGGTAGTTTTTAAAACTATATTTTGCTTAACAGCTAGAAATATACTGTAAGTGCAACTGCACTTTAGGTCATCTGTCATTTTTCTGCAACATGGTTTCAACCATCTTTCAGACTATTTAACAAGCGACAATTTGCAAAGTAAAGCACCGCTTTGCTTCACATTCACAACAGGAACTTGAAGTATTTCAGATATTGCTGTCTTTTGTTTTACGATAATCGGTGTGAGAATTACAGGCCCATTCCATCATTTTAACTGTCTTAACTTAAAAGCTTGACATTTCCATAAACTTTGTAGAAGAGTTTAAGTTCATTTTTGTGTTTCCTAGCTTAACAAAATGAAAGTAATGGCTTCTGTTTACAAATGAAATTGATGTAAACAAACCAGAAATTGTTAATAACCCTAACTATAAATTGTCTTATCCCTTGCTCAGTTTAATGGTGAAAGTAGGTTTCAATCTTCCTTCAATTTAATTTTTAGCTCTTGTTTACATTTATTCATAGATAGTGAGAAAACTTGCACTGCAGTTCAGTTTTCCATTAGTCCCCGTGCTCATGAGTGCTTTTTCTGACACATTGGATAGCTTTATTAAGATATAGTAGGCTGTTTACTAGAGGTGGCCACAAAATAATGTGAACTGGAAGTAAGAGAGAAGCTTGTTGCAGCTGCAGTTCAAAATGTAATATCAGGCTTTTTCTAAAGCCATTAGAGGAAGAAGAGAAGAAACTTTGCTCAGGTTGCGTTTAGTTGTATCTTTAAGAGCCTGGAGCATTTTTATATATACAAACATTTGAAGGAGGAGAGGCGGGGCTCTGGTAGTGTAGGAGTAATTATAGTCATCAGTTACGTTCCAACACTTTGCGAGTGTTTGGCAGGTGGTGTCGTGGTGGGCAGCAGACCTGAGTGAAGCTAATTCTGCCACTGTGTGGGAGGCCATGTGTCAGTGTGAAGTGCTGTTATGTTGTGTAGGTGCAGTTGCCATTTTTTCTTTCATTGCAGGCATATGCATACTATACTTGTGAGGACCCTCATTGACACAGTGCATTCCTTTTTTGTAGGTTTTCATGGTTTGTATATACTATTATAATATATATAATAAAAATAATATACTGGCAAAGTAAATTGCGACTTGAAGCGTAGTTTAACACTTATCTTTTCTATACAAGAGGAGTAAATCGTCTTTCAAAGCCTTGTGGGACAGTAGGAAATAAAGGACCAGCTAAAGTTAAAAAAAAAATAATGATTTAATGCAAAACTGACTAAAAAAGTGATGATTCGATGGACCCAGAAATTAAATCCTTTTATTTAAGCAACTTTATTTCACAATTTCAACTAATATAAAATTGCATAAAGGAATACCAAAAAAAAGAGAGAAAAAGATTGATAAATAAAGGTAAATAGTCCATGATAGTTACTTAAACAGTGATGTAGATAAAACAATAAACAAATTTTGTACACAAACAGACACATTCTCTCACAATGGAAAATGTTTAAAGTGCATGCAGTGATAGGATGATATCTCGATATCTCTCCTGAGCTTTGGGTCTATTGTTTTAGATACAAAGATGGTTGTGTGTTGGACAAGATTCACCCTTGGAGCTTTTGTGACTGTAACATAATGCAGAGTACAATACAGGACATACGTGTGTGTGTGTGTGTGTGTGTGTGTGTGTGTGTGTGTGTGTGTGTG